CGGATGAGGTGGGCGGCGGCCACAGCTTCTCCTTCTACGGCGCTGCCCTGTCGGACCCGGAGAAGGGCAGCCCGGCCCTGTTTGCGATCCTCAGGGGCCTGGCGTGTCCCGCCCTGGTGTCGCCCGAGAGGTGCGCCGCGCTGAGGGACCAGTTCCTGAAGCTGGCCCGCTACCGGCAGCTGAAGAGCGAGCAGGACTACGCGGGGCTGCACGCCGAGATCGGGCAGGGCCTGCAGCCGGAGGGCCCGAGGGAGGCCGGCCGGCTGTTCTACCTGTCCGTCCCCGCCTTCGCCTACGCCGACATCGCCGGCAAGATCAACGGCAGCTGCCGGCCCCCCGCGGGGGCCTGGCTCCGGGTGGTGCTGGAGAAGCCCTTCGGCCACGACTCCGACAGCGCCAGCCTGCTCTCCTCGCAGCTGGAGAAGTTCCTGAAGGAGGAGGAGACCTACAGGATCGACCACTACCTGGGGAAGCAGGTACCGCATCCGAGCGCTGCTCCGGGCCCTGATTGCACCAGGCCCGGGCGGGGGGGCGAGCGCAGTCGAGGGCAGCAGAGCGAAAGAACACGGTGGGATCATGGGAGGAGCCTGGGGCTGTCTGCAAAGGCAGGATGTACATAAGTGTGGGGAAAAATGTGGTACAGGGCAATGTTTTTGTGCAAATCGACCGTAGTAAATGCTAGAGGCTCTGGACACAAGTGGTGAGATCTTTGGAGCCTAGCCCCCATCCACATTTATTAGCAACACTTCAGAAGTAATTTTAGGGTCTGAAAGGCATAACTGCTGAAATGTCCTCCGGGCAGGCTGCACAAGGCATGGTTTTGAGACTTCTTTGGTACTTTGATAGGCCTGTCCCCCCCGTGTAATTTGCAGCGAAGATTTTTTTAGATGCATTTGCCAACGACTAATACGTATCCTTTCTTCCCGTTTGCAACTCGTTCCTCGTTCTGAAGGTCGTTGCGCAGATCCTGCCGTTCAGGATGCAGAACCGGAAGCTCTTGAGCCCGATCTGGAACAGGCACCACGTGGAGAGGGTGGAGATCGTGCTGAAGGAGACCCTGGATGTGAAAGGTGCCCAATGGGGGGCTCTTACTGGGGGAGCGGCCGGGGGTCGTACTGGCCCTGGCGGTGCCTGCTGACGCAGACGTGGGGCGCTGGCTGTGCCATTCTCCAGTTTCCCTCCATGAGTTGAGTCCAGCTGCACCGGGGAGGAAAAGCCCAGATGCCAGGAGACGGAAGGATACGGGAGTTGTGCTAAAGTCCGATTTAGTCCGATCTTATGCTCAAGTCATTTCATTCTGGATTTGCCTTTGTAGCCGACAAAGCGAAATATACTATATTACTCTGAAACGATGTGAGCACGCTTATTTCATTCAAAGTTCCTGCATCTGAAACTTAGATCAAATCAGAACTCGTGAAGGTGGAGCTTTGATAACTGAAGAATACAAGATACTGTGAGTGAGTGAGTCTGTGCTTGTATTACAGAATGAAATTAAATACTGAATAATAGCATAGTGAAAATCAAAAGCACCTTCTTAAGCTTCTGCTAGCTTTAATTTTATTTTTCATCTACAAGTAATCATAGGAAGCTGTTTGTAATAATTTTTTTTTTTAAATCAGCAAGAATGCAGGCAAGATCTGCAGACCCTGCAACACTTTCTACCAGCCACTAGAGGGCAGCATAATGTCTCACATGCTGTGTTTCATTAGAGCTGCAGTAGATGCAACACTCTAGTTACTTTGCATAATCTCTGACAGCACAGGAGTTCTGTTCAGGCAGCAGAATTGCTGCGTGGATGGAGTCATCCACTTCGTGCTTTCTGTGCCTGTTGATTTTAAAATAAGTACCAGCTGCAGATTAAGAAAAGCCATGGCCTCCAAGACTGTTGTGTGAGAGTGACCATGCTGCGCTCATCATCCATCTTTCTTCCTGCCTCGGCCCAGGGCGCACGGAGTTCTACAACCAGTACGGCGTCATTCGCGACGTCATCCAGAACCACCTGACCGAGGTCCTCACCCTCCTGACCACGGAGATTCCCGTCAACCTGAGCAGCTCGGGAGAGATCCTGAGGAACAAGCTGAGGGTCTTCAGCTCGCTGCTGCCTCTGGACAGGGGGAGCGCCGTGATTGGGCAGTACCAGGCGTACAGCGCCGAGGTCCGCGAGGAGCTGAACAAAACCAAAGACTTCGTCAGCGCCATGCCCACTTTCGCCGGTAGGGGCTGAGCAAAGGCTTCTTTCGAGGCCCATACTGCTCTTTTCTGAGGTTTAAAGCAGGGCTATCCAGTTGTGGGCCTGAAGGGATGGTTCCTCTGCAGATTTTCATTCCAGCTCAGCATTTGATGAGCTAAATCAGATGACGACTGGCTAAAGTGGACCAGTTTCATCGCTTTTCCCAGCTCTTCAGGTTCTGCTGCTTTGAAGAGACCTTGAAAACTTGCAGACATTGACCGGCCCTCGTCACAGTGATTTTGTTTTTTCAATGCAGGAATTAATAATTTTATTTAAAAAATAATACAGATTGGAAAGTCCTTGCTGGGTGTTAAAAAAAGGCAGAGTGAGGGATGACTTGAGTGACTCACTGTTTTCACAGTCTTTCTGGAAGCCAGCCTGCCCCCACAGTTTAACTCCCTAGCGAGAAATGAATCTGAAATATATATATATAAAGTACTTTTTGAAGATGTAAATATGTAAAACCAGGTCTTGTTTCTGTGCCTTTTTTTCCACTGAAAAACACTCTGTACGAGAACAGCTTCAGAGATCACATGGGAACTTGGTCCAAACCAGTATGAGTCACAATCCCTGAGTCTGCCAGGCTGACACAGACCCCATGTAGTGTCCTGTCCGGTGCCAGAGAGGCTCAGATTACATGCAGCAGCCTAATGCTTCAGTGGGTGATAGGTTTCAGTGACAAATTGTTTTGATCACGGCCTTATTTTCTTTTTCGGAAGCTTATCGTGCAGTTTCTCGGAGCACCAAAAAAAAAAAAAAAAAGGACTGCTCACCACTTGCATGTTCTGTCTTGCACTTCATTCTCAAACCCAGCAGTCTGGTTTCTGTGTGGGCATGCCGGCGGGTGCCTGTCTGGAGCCCTGCTTCGCCGTGCACAAAGGCTGCTTTCAGTATTAGCCAGCCCAAATACACTGCCTTACGGAAACGAGCTGCATCAGAGTGGTGGCCCTCTCCCCCTTTCTCCGTCGGAGTCAGTCTCCCCCTCCGGCCGTGGCCCCTTTTAAACCCGAGCTTGTAATAGGACCTGGCCTATAGCAACACCGAGAGTCATGATTGCATTAGACGTCTTTATGGGTCAGTACAAGGGACGAGCTTAGGCACCTTGACGCGATTCTGTTGCCGTCTGAAGTCTTCAGTGCCAGCTTGAAAGCCGATACCTTCCTCTGCTTTCTGTGCAGCTGGCCTGTTCGTGTGCTGTTTTTCTGAGTTATGGCAATCCTCAGCCTTTCTCTTCCCTCCCTCGTCTACTGATTGGTGTCATCTACAAGACCTGGTGGACAGGACCACGCTGGGGGTGGGGTAGGGGGGACCAAAGCGATTTCTGCGATGCAAATTCCTCCACAAAAACAAACTCGTGTTTGCTGCCCTTTCAGGTGTGGCGGTGCACATCGGTAATTCCCAGTTCGACGGCGTCCCTTTCATACTGACGTCGGGGAAGCTGCTGGACGAAAGAGTTGGTTACGCCCGGGTCCTCTTCAAGAACCGAGTCTTCTGCGTTCAGAACGTCGGCGACGTCCACTGCCAGCCCCGGCAGATCGTGTTTTACTTCGGTCACGGCAGCCTGCAGAACCCGGCCATTTTGGTGAGCAAGAACCTGTTCAAGCCCGTGCTGCCGGAGGACAGCTGGCAGGAGGTCACGGAGCACAAGGACATCAGCCTGTTCGGCTTGCCCCTGTCGCAGTACTATGTGCAGACCCCCCGGGTGCAGAAGGAGGCCTACGCAGTGCTGATCTCGCACATCTTTCACGCCAAGAAGGACAGTTTCATCAGCACGGAGAACCTGCTGGCCTCCTGGCAGTTCTGGACCCCGCTTCTGCACAGTCTGGCGCAGGAGTTTCCCAGGCTCTACCCTGGAGGGGAGGACAATAAAAACCTCCTGGATTTCAAGCTCCAGGGGCGCGAGGTTTCGTTCACAAACGAGGCCGTGGTGCTGATCTCCCAGAGTCCCGGGGGCTCGACGGCCCAGAGCTTCCAGGTCACTCAGGGCAAGTACAGGACCTGGGACATGGTTTCGGCCTGGGCGGAGGAGCTCATCCACCGGCTGGCCTCCGACTTGCAGGGGGCGGCAGAGAGGGCCGTGAGACGGAGAGGGCAGTTCCACCTGGCCCTCTCGGGGGGGTCCAGCCCCCTGGCCTTGTTCCAGAGGCTGGCGCTGCATCACTACGCCTTCCCCTGGGAGCGCACGCACGTCTGGATGGTGGACGAGCGCTGCGTGCCCCTCTGGGAGCAGGGCTCCAACTTCAGGACGGTGCACGACCACCTGCTGCAGCACGTCCGCATGCCCTACTTCAACATCCACCCCATGCCGGTCCACCTGAACCAGCGGCTGTGCGTGGAGGAGGACGGCGGCCCGCAGGCCTACGAGAAGGAGATCGCCCGGTTTGTCAACGACTCCAGCTTCGATTACGTCCTGCTGGGCGTCGGCTACGACGGCCACACGGCCTCGCTCTTCAAGGACACCAAGGCCGAGGCCCTGAAGGACAAGCTGGTGGCCTTGACGGAGAGCCCGGTCAAGCCCCACCAGCGGATGAGCCTGACCTTCTCCGCCATCAACAGAGCCAGGGCCATAGGCGTGCTGGCGATGGGCAAGGGGAAGCACGAGATGATAACCCAGCTGAGCAGGGTGAAGGACGACCCAAGGAGGTGGCCGATCACGGGTGTCAAGCCTGTCAAAGGCAGACTGGTGTGGTACATCGACTACGAAGCACTGCTGGGGTGATGGGTGCGTGCCAGGTGTGCCATGCTCTCTTCCTTCCACCCCAAGCGTGAGCCTCACAACCTCAGAAAGCCTCACCGACGAAGGCAGGCAGTTCCAGCTCAGCCCTCGTCAGTGTGCATGAACTTGTCTTATGAAGGAAATGTATTGCAAGAGCCCTTATCAGTGGTGCAGGGCTCCAATCCTGCACGACTGCAGCATCTTCTGGTTATCGTTCTTCAGTTCTTAATTGCATATTTTAATTCCTGGGCTAATTGGATGTCTGTATTTTTAAATAGAAAATGCAGATTTATGGGACTTTAAATTTAGTCGGGGCAAATCATTTTCTACAAAGCGCGATGAAACTTCCTGTTGGTTTGTATCAATGTCTACTGATTTTCTTTTAATCATGAAAAGTGGGTTGATGAAAAATTCAGCAGATTTTCCAAAAGGGCTTGAATATGGTTCACTGTAATTGCAGTTCCTGCTTCTACCAGCGTCAACTTTTAAATAGCACTTCTCTTTCAAGACCGGTTTACACCAATTTCTGAATGTGAATTAAGTTCAGGGGCCATGAAGAAGGACCAAAATGACAGTTTCTCTGCTGATCCCTTTGTGAGTAAAGATTTGAGAAATCTACAGCAGTCACTGCCAGATCCCAACGGATCATCTTCTTTCTTTTGTTTCTGTTTCAAGAGGGCTTGAAATCCTCAACTGGGCCTTCATCACCAGTGCTAAGTGGTGTCTGGGACTGATCTGCCTGCTGGTTTGGGCTTATTTCTGCACTTAGTCCTTGGTTTCGCAATGCCACAGTTAAAGCACTTCTTTAAATGATTATTTCCAACAACTTAAGCGTACAGAAATATATGTAGTCTCACCTCAACTTGCTAATTAAGTCTCTGGGGAGGATGGCACTGTGTCAGACACAGTGAGTCAGTGTTTTTCCCTTCAGCTGGTTGCATTTCAGCTCGCACACCTGAATGAGGGCAGTCCTGAAGCTAATTGGCAATGACTAGGTAATTAGCATAGAATTCATTCCAATTAGAAACCTCCTCTAGCTTCTTTAAACTTAAAATCAGTTTTTGGAGAGAAAATTTGAATAAATTAACCTGTGATTAGGAATGCAGCTGGAGCATCAAACTAGAGAGAGGATACCTTTCCAGGAGAAGGACTGAGAATCACTTTACGGGACATGAAAGGAGGAGAACAGCCCAGAATAGCAAGCAGGTCAGTTAGTTAAGGGTGCAGTTAGCCCTGGTGATGAAGGGCCCAGCTGGGACAAACAGGAGCACACACAGGGGTTCCTCAGGGACCAGAACTGAGAACCAATCGGGTGCAGGTTCAGGCCTCTTCAGCAGGCACTGGGCTTTGCAGAACTGAAGACAAAAATTGGGCGCCTCTGCATTTTCTGACTTTTTTTTCTAGTGTGATCTGTACACTGGTACAGAAGAGCCCATTTTCAGGACCGCTGCTAATGTCATCTAAGTGCCTTTAATAGATCCAAGATAAATAATCCCTCCATGCTCTTCAAACCCTCTGAATGTATTTCCCTCTCAGGGGTTAAAATAGGATGGAGAGTCTTAACTACCTCTCAGTTAAAGTGACCAGTTCCTTGGTAGCAAAGGCAGAGTCCTGTATAGTCAAATAGATTTGATGTTTTCCACCTTAATATGCAAATTCAAAGCTGCAACAAATCTCTGTTTTTGCATGGATGTTTGGAAGTTGTTTTTTATATCATGAAGTTTAAAATCAACAGATTCTCTTGCACTGTTGTCGTGTCTTTAACACTGGTTTGCTTCTTTTGGTCGTCTGTCCCTGTTCGATTTCCTGTTGTATATTTTTAAGGACACAACAAGCAACCAAGGAACAAGAAATTGATTTTTTTTTTCAGTTTATTTTTAATTTTTAAGGCACTGAACTGAACACACTGGAATGTCTTGAAGGATCAAAAGAGCTTACCTTCTGCACATTTGTACAAAAGTATTATCAATGCTTAGATTAAATTCTAAGTTTAAAAAAAATTTAGTTGTCTTGTCCTTTGATAATATTGCCTGTATCGCCGCCTGGGCGTCTCATTGCAGACCAGAAGGATATTCAGTACAGGCACCGAAGAGAAATGCTGGACTTCAAGGTCTTGCATTGGATCATTCAGGTTAAATTGCAGTCAAAGAAGCGTCCCAGATACCGCTGGGGGCTGTACAGGTAGAGTCACAGAAGGTGACCCTGTGACTCCTCTCATTTCTGAGGGGACTGTTCATGTGAATCCTCCAGGCACAGTAACACATTGCCTTAATGCTCATATACTGTATCTGCTATTTTCCATCTCTTTTTTGATGCTGTTTTCTATCTCATACTATTCATTATTAAACTAATGAAATTCTTGCTCTTTTTGGCTGCTTTTATGCAGCATTTTCATTGATAGTCTTTTTCCCATCAGTGAAGTCACTGGTGATGTCAGTCCTCTTGGTCTCATTTCAGAACTGCTGAACTTGTGGTGGAGAACAGACTGGGGACTTCTGACTGTCAGATCTCATTTGATCATTTCAATATTGTTACTTTCTCACTCTTGACAGAAAAGGGGGGCAGTTGGTTGTGGTGAATGTTAGTATTGAATCAAATCTTTTTTTTTTTTAAATAAAAAGTCATTTTGTTTTTTGGACAGGAACCCTAGAAAAGGGAATTTACACCTGGGTGGCCACAGTCATCTTGTTTCACTACCCATTTGACTTTTAAAGTTCAGCCGTAGCAGCTGGTGGAATACTGTAACTGTTAAGTGGCTTGACATTTTTGAAAACAACCTGTGCTTTTTTCAAACCGGTGGGACATCATGTGTTCTGGCGGGCTGCTTTGTGCAAGAACGCCAAGCCATGTTGAAAACGTCTGTGCAAACTAGCAGAGCAGACAAATATTGGATCGTACAGCGTCACTGTTGCACGTCTGCCCATGTCTAGGGGCCATCTGAAACCTACTGGATGTAGTACTCTGGAGTTCGACTGTTAAGTGTTGGTGAGATGTTCTCAATATTTTAAGAGAAGTTTCCTCTTCTAATGTTCAGCAGCTCTGTGAGCTCCAGGGAAAGGTGAAGGGAACACAAAAGGTTTTTTTTACTTGAGTATTTTGTTGAATCTAGCAGCAGTTCCCACGTTTTATGGCAGTGAAAGGTTTGGGAAAGGTGTGAGGTTAAGTGCCCTGGGCTGGATTAAAGCTTGCTGTGGCCATTCTAAGAGGCGCAGGACTCCCACAGCATAAACAGACCAAAACCCTGAAGGCCTTTCTGAACTTCTGCTCCTAAATCGGTGAAGTCTGAACTCAGGTCCAAGCACACAGCTGACCTTTTTTATTAAAAAATGTAATGCCCTCATGACCATGATTTGTACTTTTAATTTTGCAGTGTACAGTAATCTTGTCATTCTTTTGTATAATACTGTACATCAGGCTCTATGTGCAAAATAAGGCCAAATTCAATTAAGTGTTCAGATTTGCAATTGTGTATAACACATCTGAAATTGCTGGCAGGGATGGAATGGAGACTCCTACACGTCTGCCAATCGTTACTCACAGTCCCAGTATTTGATGCTGGATTTCTGTTGAGGAGAACCAAGAACCCTCTAGGCACTGGTTTTGTGACTTACACAGCAAGTGTCAGGTAGGTCTACATGTAAAAACAGTGGAAAGGCTGCAGGTGAGAGGAAGTATCTGGCTATTTCCGCTTGTTGGATTGTTAGTAGCTAATTGATCCAAGGGTCTTCTCCAGTGCCTCTTGTTCTTGGCGAATGCACACTACGTCCACTAGTAGTTAAGTACCTAAGGTTCGCTCGTGGTCCTGAAAGCACTGGGCTCTGCTGTTGCCCTTCAGGGTTTGACAGTCTTCTTTTCTCAGAAGTGAGTCAGTGTCTCAGTGTCAAGGCCCTTCATTTTGAGCTCATTTTTATAGCTCTTCTTGCTGTTGGCCACCTGCTGCAGCTGCGCTTTTAGCAGACGAGGTCGTGGTGCCAGGAAGTGGAGGAACTTTGTGTTGGGTAATGATGTCACCCAGTCTGCAGCGATAGGTGCTGCAGTCCCAGGTGACTCACCTCAACAACGGCCCGACCGCATGCCAGTCCGACGCTTTTCCACTGCAGAATCCAGGGTGCCGAAGCGTCTGAGTGACCACAAGATCCTGAGTAATGCGTGAGGTGGTGTGGAGCAGACGCTGCTTTTGAAATTATGGAGCTTGAGCAAGAATTCGTAAGTGTCTCTTTGTCTCTCTCTCTCTCTTTTTTTTTTTTAAATAACTTCATTGCATGCAGGAAGCTCCACCCCAGGGTGTGAAAAACCACAAGAAGGAGTCTGATATTTCAGAGCTGCGTGAGCAAGTGCTTTTTCTCGCAAAGGATCTCGGCCGGCTCTTTGTTGGCAAAGTGTTCACCACGGAGTGGAGCTTTCCAGCCGTCCCTTGCCGGGCTGATGTGCCCTGCAGTGCATACAGAGCCTTCCAGGACTATCCCCCCCCCCTCCCCACCGCTATTGTCACATTTTGATAACTTTAAAGTAATGTCTATAATGTCTTTTCAGATAGACATTTTTTTTTTATTCAGGGCAGCATGGAAGCGCAGAGGTGAGTGTTGCTGTCGTGTAGCGCTGGGGCCCCTAGTTCAGGACCTCGTGGTGCTGTCTGTGTGGAGTTGATATGTTCCCTGTGTTTGCATGGGTTTCCCCTCAGAGTCCCAAAGACATGCCGGTGGGTTAACTGGCTTCAGAGAAAATCGGCCCTGGTGTGAGTGTGTGTGTGCCCTGCGATGGACTGGCGGGCCGTCCAGAGTGTATCCTGCCTTGTCGGTCGTTGTCGTGGCCCTGATTCGGACAAGTAGTTTTAGAAATTGATGAGACGATGATGTTTTTTTACTCAGAAGTTTAATGTACTTGATTGTACCTGGTAAAAGCACCTATGGCAGCAATGGGTGCTGTCAGTATTTCTGGATAAGTGGGATATCTCAGTATGAATGTCTCTGTATAAAATTCCATTTTGTTCTATTGCATAAAACAAAAACCACATTGTTAAGTTTTGACTGTGACCACATTTTTCCTGTAGTGTGTAGAGACTAAAGAGATGATACTCTCAAGCTTGGGCCTCTGTTTTTTTTTACCGATCTTTATAGATGCTAATTTAACAAAGCCTAAATACTGTACGTACAACAAATGTTTCTCGTTATCTGTGGGGTTAATAGACAGGAGGCTGAAGTGAAATTATAACCCACTATAAGATGCAGATCTGTTGACTCAACTGTTGTGCCCACAGTTAGGATGATGAACTTTTCCCGGAAGGTAGGAATGTTTCCAAGCTGTAGCCAAACGCATGTTCATCCTGCTGCTGTGAGTGAATCTCTCGTCTGTGACAGAATTGCCTCTCATTAGCTGGCCGGGCTCTCTGCAGTAAAAAAGACAAGCATTCTCATTCATAGGAAAAAAAAACATTTCTTAATCTTTCTTTTCACACTCCTCTTCTTGTAACTTCACTTGGTGAAAATAAGACGTCTCTGCCAAAAAGGGGTGCCTTCATTTTCTATTCCTCATTGCGAAACGAAAGAGGTTGTTGGTGATGGCCAGTGCTGGCTCACTTAACGAGTAGTGATTTTTTCCCTCATACGTGATGAGAAAAAACGCCCAAGGTTTCTTGGAAAAAAAAATGCATGTTAATGAAGAATTGGATTTTTCTGGCCATGTGTGGCACTTGAAGACATTCGTTTTATCTATGCTTTTTGAGGAAGGAATGTAATCTAAAACAAGTCGGAGCCATTCAACCTGATGAGATGAGGAGATGTGCCCAACTCCAATAAATCATGTAGACAGGTAACTCAAAAGGGAAAAAAGCCTGCTAGTCACTCTCTGTGTTGTGGATTCTGCGCTGTGTGAGAGTGAGCATGTAGGTATTTGATTTGCTAGTACTCTGGACTAGCCTGAACACCAAACACTGTTGCATTGTTTTCTCATTCCATGGCCCACATCCTTAGATTTTCCAGGTGCGGATGATTTCATGCTCCTGAGCTGTTTGTCAGCAGCACGCCAGAGATCGGAATTCTGACTGCCAGATCGTTGGTGTGCTGTTGCCGTGCTCTGGATTCTGCACAGTGCCGGGACTGAGGAGCTGTTGTTCACATTACCACCCCCCACCTCCATCCCCACTCTCAAGCAGGGCTGTTTCCGCAGAAGAGGATTGGGTATCTCGTAGCAATGCAGCACTGCAGACTCAAGGATCTCCTCACCTCTGTCACAGTGCTGCAGTGTCTTTGTCAGAGGGTGGACAGGCCAGCCTGCACTGACCCCTGCTCCTCTCCTGCTTAAAGGAAACAAAATTCTTATGCACTTACTGTGGCTGGTTTTCAAAGACCTGCTTTGATTTAGGAGGAAGGTTTGCTCACTATGGGTCTGAAAGTAATTGTAAAACACTTTAACAATACAAATCTAGCAATCCTAGATATACATTAGGAGAGAAAGTAAATGAACCGGTATTTTAAAATGGGTAAGGAAAAAAATGTTTTTTTGTGAGAAAATAAAAGATTTAGGAAACTGAAGGTCTCTGAGGAAAATACAAAATAAGGTGTTGTGAGGTTTTTTTCATTAGCTGAACACGACCAATTCCGAGATTCAGATGTTGCATTTATTAAAAGCAGTCAGCGGCATTTTCTGCTGCCAAGAGAGGATCTGTTCATCCCAGTGAATGGAGAGCGTCCCACTTCCTGGATCAACAACAGAGTTTCTGAGCAAGACCTCAGCCTTGCAGTCTGTGCTGAGTTAATTTTAAATATGGAACCGTCATTAATAATTATTATAGCTCTTTTGTGGCAAGATGAGATGCTGTCGCTTTTGTTCTCCCTTGAGGACGGCAGAAAAGCGCCGAAGATTTACTTTTTTTAAAAAAAGTGAAAATACTGTTAGAGGTGGCTTTGTCAAATCCTGGGCAGTTCCTAAACATACGGGTGTAAGATTTTTAATTTCACATTTCCAGTTGTTCGCAGTTTAAACCTTTTTAAAACAATATTTGCTCGTCTAAATTAGTAAAGATAAATTGCGGGTTGCCTGTATAATTTCCTAAATGAAGTTTCTCGTGTCTAATTAACACCAATGTAAAATTCATGAAACACAAATTACACGTCCCCCTCGATTTTAAGAAATTCACAGAGCACATACTGTAGAAATGACAAAACTCGTAGCTGCGGAATATATTATCAGTTACCTAGTAACCGTTGCTGCAGTTTTTCAATGAAAATTTTGATAACTTCTAATTGGATACAAAAGACTAATTAGATACTAATCATTTATCTAATGAATTAACTAATGAGATACTGAGACTCACTAATTAGGACTAAACGACCAGTTTACATGAAATATTTGAATTAGATTACCTGTCCTT